GAAACAGCTCAATTACTTTTGTTTTACATTACTGAATGCTTTACATTTGTGACTGCAAAAGTCCTGTGCACCACGTAATAATGCAGTGACACCAACTGATGTTGACAGACCTTTCCTGTTTTATTTTATTTGTCTGATTCTGTATTTTGCTTCTTGACTGTATTCATGGCCTTGATTTGTTTCAATTCCTCCAATATGCTAGATGTGAATATATAACAAACACTAATTCCTCCCCATTCAAGTGGTATTGTTAACTTAAATTTGTTTTCTAAATGTGTAATTTGGACTTGACTTCCTTTTTCTTGAAACTATGCCACTTTCCACTTCGGCATTACTGAAACTTTCCAGACTCTTTATTAGACACAACATAACAGTCCAGGATTTTTAAAAAAAAACCTTAACTTGGGATAATGAATACATTGTTCATTTTTTTTTTAAATCCTCAAATCTTCTAATCAATTTCTATAAAGGGATTGAGACCACCCACTTTCTAGACCATTCTAGAACACGCCTCTCTTACGTAATTACTTCATTGCGTCTCAAGCTTCCCAAATATTTGAGAAACATGAGAAATGACCTAGATTTGTTTAGAAAACAAAAAAACTGTAAACTGCCTCAATTTAGTAATGATTTTAGTTACACACATTTGTTTTAGATGTTTGGCAAGAAGGAAAGAAAAATTAGGCTGCATTAGACTTAGGTAGAATACCTGTTGGCTCTAAAATGCCAGCATGGTTAGTTTAGTATACAGGTTTAACTTTTACACCACATAGTAATTCCATGCTGGAATTCTAGGATTAGAAACAAACTATGTACCTGGTAGTGACAAAACATATCACATTTTTGATCCTGTTAGCTAATAACAGAACATAACAGCCTACAAGATGTTATTTTTTAATATGAAGTCTCGAGGAACTTGTTGTGCAATTGTGAAACAAAATGTTTTTTAGCAACAAGCTTAAAAAACACTATCTTAAATCATTGTACTTTTTCATTCTGTTTCTATTTCAGCAAAAAAAATCTTAAAACAACGATGAGGGTAGGTACTGAAGAAAGCTACCTTTATGATGTCACTTACTTCATTACTGTTAGCATTTTACTTCCACAAATTAATCATCTTGTGTTTATAGCCAATTAACATCAATTTAGTGACAGAATACCACTACAAAGAGCAATTACAACATATTAATTAGCTGATGATGAAAAACAGACTTTGCTAGAGAACAATTTAAATTTTCCAATTGTTTTTAATTTCCATGCTCAGTTCTAGAATTTTATTTCTCTACAAACTAAAAATGATCAGATCTTTTTAAAAACAGCCAGATAAATACTAGTGATGGGAACCAATAGTTTACTTTTATTCACACTAAACTATATACTTTAATTAGTAGATGAAAACTTACTAGAAAATGCTAATGCTTCCCGAAATGTTTCCAAGTCTGGTTCTGCAGATGCTATAGAAGATATTCCTGGTTCGACAGGGTTAGATATAGAAAAACGAGAGTGGTGAGAAGGAGATCTCAAGCCTTCTAAGGACAGCCTTTGTCTTGGAGATACCCACGATCGTTGGGAAGGAGGTGTTTTTCCCGTCAAGAAGGCAATTAAATCTTCTCGTCTAATATGACGTTTCCTTTTTTTAGCCCATGCCAACAGGTCTCTATTTCTTCTTTGATAACCACATTGGTATCCAAGATCACCAAAACGTTTTTGAGATTCTAGACATTCTATACAAGAAACAAAAAGATATGATTAAAAAAACAATTCAACTTTCATCTTTGATCCATCCTTTGCTTGTCCCAAACCAAACCCAGATTATATATGATCATAGATAATAACTCTAAAGAGCAAAATAGACTGGAACTTTTTAAACAAAAGTACTGAACTCTCACGCTGGGTAACTCAAGAAAAATACTAAATACATTTTATGAAAGATGACAGGTGCATCAACACAGAGATTTAAATGGAAGAAAATATTTGGCTTTTATTACTTCATATTAAAAACTAATTATATGAAAGTTCTTAAACCATAGAACATGATGACTGTACTGAATACCGACACCATAGTTCATTAGCTTCCTTCACAGTTGAGAACTTAATATCTACAAATTAAGAAGGTAAACAACACATTTAAGTTGCTGACACAAATCACCATTAAGGTGGGTTTACCATGTACCGAACCTTTTGAAAGGTTCTGCAGCCTGAAAGTCACTTTTCATAGTTGTCTTAGTGATCAGCTGAACCCTGACTTGTAACAGTGCATAGATAAATCACTTTTCAGTTGTCTTACTGATCAACTGAACCCTGACTTGTAACAATGTATAGATAAATCACTTTTCTTAGTTGTCTCTGTGATCAGCTGAACCCTGACTTGTAACAAAGTATAGATAAATCACTTTTCAGTTGTCTTAGTGATCAACTGAACCCTGACTTGTAACAATGTGTAGATAAATTACTTCTCATAGTTGTCTTACTGATCAAGAACCCTGACTTGTAACAATGTGTAGATAAATCACTTCTCATAGTTGTATTAGTGATCAACTGAACCCTGACTTGTAACAAAGTATAGATGCACACACCTCCAACACAACCAATATAGACCCACCAGGAACCAGCTGCATGCACACACCTCCAACACAACCAATATAGACCCACCAGGAACCAGTATGCAGCAGATGATAGGAAGGTGGAGAGCCCAAGTGGATGATTTTCTCCAGTCCATGGTAAGAGAAGGTTACCCAGTCTTACACATGCAGGAATTCATGTCTCATCCAGCTACAACCAACACCAGATTCACCTGAAACTGACAACCAGTGGATGGTAGAAAGAGGGACTGCTATTTGGGGTTCCATCTCCCATCCAAAACCTGGTGGCATTTAGAATTCATCATCCAGTCCGCAGAAGGAGGAGGGTACAATCCAAATACGTGAGGACTTATGTGGCTGGTCCAGCTCCAACAAACACCCAATCTCTGGGAACCAATATCTGGCAGATGGTAGGAAGGAGGGTGCCTCAGCTAGAGAGGCAAACTGCAATATATGGCAGAGTGCTACATCTAACACCTGGTGGCATCTGGAATTACACATCAAGTCCATGGAAAGAAGGGCAATACCCCATCTACACCAGCAGAATGCCACCACCCTATTTTCAAACAGAGTGGTATTGTGCACACTCAGAAGGACAGGCCTCCATGGTCCACAGCATTGGAGACAGTGCAATAGGTGACTGCAATATCCTATTTTGAAAAGCAGAGCAATCACATTGACAGAATCGACCAACTAACACCAGGCAGCATCTGAAATTGTACATCAGGTCTGTGGTAGAAACAGCCTCAATGCCACAGATCATCAAAGATGGGCAGTTATCCATGTCTGCTTTACTCATGTTAGTCCACGAGTTTACAGATTATGAGGGATACCTAAAAGCAGTCCTGCAGAACACCCCCATCTCAACGGTGTGTGTAACATGACATTGTGACATGGTATGATATTATATTTCGATGTTTAGAGGACAACCAACAGCTGGTGGCATCTGGAATTGTACATCAGATCTGCTGTAGGAAGTGCCTCAACATCACTGTCATCTAGCATGGTATGTGATCACAGTCGTACAGTGCAGATTTAAAAGTAAGTATACCTGGTCAGGCAACACTCACCACAGAGCGGGATACAAATGTGTCAGAAAGGCCTATGTAAAGAAAAACAAAATGAATGAAGTACTTACCACCAACAGATACAGCATTGGTGATGTTCACCAAGGAAGGATTGAAATGTGCAGCTAGGGACACGGTAAGGTAACGGATCTGATGGGAGAAAAAACATGAAAAAGGCGACAATATCAAGAGAAAGGGAAGAAAACTGCCAGGCAAATTAATTGGTGAATTCAACTCAGAAGGGTAGTGGGAAAAATGTCACATGAGAGTTGAAGATTTCATGCCATATACCATTGAACAACATGGATAAGACTGGCAACTGGAAAACACAAGCAAAGTCAGGAAACCGAAAAGTGGCAGATTGCATCACCCTATAGCCCACAACAGAGGTAAAAGAAAGGCTCTGCTCAAAAAGACACATAAAAAAGGACAGTATATGAGGAATCATGGGATGGGAAGGACTACAACCTTTCAGGACAGACCAAAAGTGTCACATGTACCACATAAGTAGGTAAACCACCATGGAGAAAAGAAAGAACAGGACAGAAAATGATGGAAGTTACATGCATAAAATCTGGTACTTCAGGTGAGGGACCGAACAAAACCACCCAGGAATATGGACGATGCACGCTGGAGTGTGCCTGATGGAGGAGTATCAGAGGTAAAGCAAGAGAAAGGGAGGTGAAACCAAAAACCGGTGCACCAATGGAAATCTTGTGTAAGCCGGGCAGTATATATAATCATCAGCAGAACACTATGGCAAAGACACGTAGGTGGAGATGAATAGGAGGATATGCACATAGGTACCAACCCGACCAATCCCAATTGAACGCATCTGGGACAACCCACAGAGCACACAAAACCCGAAAAATGGTTAGATCGGAAAACCACACCGTAGGTATAGTCTAACCAATCCATAAACAGATTCAGGGAACTCTGATTATGACATGGCAACAAAGTAAGGGAATGGTAGTGAGCCCAACACAGGTGATCCAATGTGAGAAAACAGAGGTCTGTCAACCGAGTGCTCCTTGGTCATTGATGTACGAGACTACCATAGAAACATCAGAGTGAACCATCCCAAACTGGCCTCTAGGAGCCTGCAGAAAGTGAAGGAAAGCCCAACGAACAGCAAGGAGTTCCAAGATTGATATGGAGAGAAGACTTGGAAAGATACTATAGCCCATAAACCTCCCGAGTGTCGAGATACCCACAAAATGACTTGCAAGAAACCCAATATCCAGGTAAGGAGGAAAGACTAAAATAATGACCCAAAGGATATTCCCTGAGAAGAGCAGGGGTGGAACATAGGGACACGAGATAAAGACAGAAAATAACATACCTGAACAGTCAAATACACCAAAGCGGAAAGAGGTCTGGACAAGTCCTCCAAAACAACACATGACTGTGAGGCATATTCAGGAGGGGGAAAAAGACTGTCCAAATCCAAAACTTCCAGATCACTGAAAACCATGATACAACAATCAGTATACTCTGTTTGTTGCAGGAAATTAGTCAACTCCAGACGGAACAGAGCCATCACTTTATGGGCAGAGAATCGTGGTTCCGACCTGTTGGATGTGGTTGGTGATTCTGCTGTAACAATTGTAGTCATGACTACCTAAAACTGTGAGTGCATAACTCACAAAATTGAAAGAGGAGAGAAGATAAATAAAATAATTTGAAACTCTCCACAAAAGATAACAAAAACGGTAAAGAACAACGTAATTAAAGTAGAAAAATTAAGAAAGTAAAAACTTGTGGATAAATGAATCAAACCATGAGCAAAAACACGTCTGTACAATAAGACTGCTAATCGAGAAGTGATTAACAGCTGCAAGATTAGAGAGGACACAAGTTATGATAGGGGTAGTCACACTCCTATTGGTGGAGAGTTGCAGCATAATAAATTGCATGTAAGTAAGCAGAAATAAATGGGAGTATCAAGGCTAGTGGCAAGTTAAAATTTGCTCCGATAGAGGGCAGTATAAGTCGAGAAAGCATTTTGTGAGAGGTGGTTAGATTATCATATCAGAAATATGATGTCAAAACTTCAAATGTTGATAGGTTTGACACCATATTTTAATAAAGCACAAAGAAACAGACTTTGCAATGGATGTTATGAAAAGCATAGCAAACAGAACCATAATTTGTACTGGAGGTTATCTAGAGTCCAGCATGAAGAACCATAATTTGTGACAAACATTATCTACAGTAAAGCGTAAAGATCCATAACTTGTGATGGACCTCATATCTACAACACATCATGACTATTCATAATTTGCGATACAATTTACCTACAGCAGTGTTTCTCAAGTACCAGTTTGTTGGAACCATTTTACAGGAACATAAGATTTCACAAAAATAAACAAACACTGACAGGACATTCATATGTAAATCCTAATGCTTTGTTTGTTGTATTTTAGTGGTTCATGACAGTTTAGGGAGGTGGTGAGCCAGTCCTGAGTATTGAAAAGGTTGTGAAACACCCATCTACAGTACAACAATAAAGAACCATAGTTAATGTTGGAGGTTATCTACAATACAGCCATAAGAACCATAGTTAGTGTTGGGGGTTATATACAATACAGCAATAAGAACCATAGTTAGTGTTGGAGGTTATCTACAGTAGAGCAGTAAAGAACCATAATTTGTGTTGGAGGTTATCTACAGTAGAGCAGTAAAGAACCATAATTTGTGTTGGAGGTTATCTACAGTACAGCAGTAAAGAACCATAATTCACAATGGAGGTAATCTACAGTACGGCAGTAAAGAACCATAATTTGTGTTGGAGGTTATCTACAGTACAGCAGTAAAGAACCATAATTTGTGTTGGAGGTTATCTACAGTACAGCAGTAAAGAACCATAATTCACAATGGAGGTAATCTACAGTACGGCAGTAAAGAACCATAATTTGTGTTGGAGGTTATCTACAGTACAGCAGTAAAGAACCATAATTTGTGTTGGAGGTTATCTACAGTACAGCAGTAAAGAACCATAATTTGTGTTGGAGATTATTTACAGTACAGCAGTAAAGAACCATAATTTGTGTTGGAGATTATTTACAGTACAGCAGTAAAGAACCATAATTCATAATGGAGGTAATCTGAAGAACAGTATAAACAAAGAAACTATTTATTATGAAAGTTATCTACAATACTGACAGAAACATTAGTTGTTTTATAAAAGAATAAAAAATGAAGTACATAATGTATGTTATTTTGTTCCATGGTTTGAAGGTTTTAACATAGTTTTTAAGCTGAATATCAGTAAATCAGTCTCTTCCACAGCTTAATTAGCCTGTTGGTTAATAATGCTTCATTCATAAAGAACCAACATACCTTTATATAAATTTGTTACACTACCAGCAGCATTCTGAAAAGGCACCCACAAGGTCACACCGTGTTGACGATCTGAAAAACATGAGATCAACTTATTATTTTTTTAGTTTAAATTTAAACACAAAATACACATATAACAAATAACATCCAAGTTTTATCACTTAAGGGTTATATTCTAACTTCGGGACAGTTTCAGTTAATCGGATGAACTAGCTGTAACATGACTAGTGAACCATCTAGTTGATGAAACTTATCTCTCACACACACAAAACCAATGATGCAATGCTGCATTACATGTATATATTTAAAGTACAAATCCTATAATGTTAGTTATGGCAACCATAAACACATTACACTCATGTACAAAAAATGAATAATTTTATAAATAATTAGAGTAAGCATTGTATCTTAATCATATTAAACTTAAAATTTTTTAAATGATATAATCAAGATATTTCTGTGCAATGAACTACTTCAAAAGTATTGTAGTAAGCTATATTTTACATTATTTTAACTTACATGTTTGTTTGAGTGCATGATGCTAAGATAAGTTCATAAAACTAGCACTAGGATACATAGAAAATTCATGATGACAGAGAATCTAACAACTTTGACCAATATCAAGACATGGGTACATTATCTATAAATATGAGTAAGCAGTTTATTAGTTGAATGAAGTATTCAGTGTGTGAATGATTGAGTAAAAGAATGGATCAAGAGAGGATTGATCAAGTAAAGTTATTCATTAAGAGTTAGTGTTTCTGTAAGCTAATCAGTATGTTGATTTGCATTTGTTATAAATAAAGGAAGTTTCTGTTAAATGTTGTTAGTGTATTAGGCCTACAACTTCCATCAAATTAAACATAGCCTGTGGCAAACATTATAGAAGAAATAAATCAATTTGTTATTGTTATGTGGACTGGACTTGGAAGTGTTTTAATTACTTTTGGATAGTGTACGTATACCATCTATAGCAACTTTAGTATGAGAACCTGTAAAATAACCTTATATGTGGAATTCACATAGGTTAATGTACTCTGATATATATCTGACATGAAGTGACACAGAGACAAAAATATGGCCTTAGATAATCTGATGGAAAACCTAGAAAATTAATCTTTATTGCCATAAAGGATAAGAGTATATAAAATGACAAATGTGTCTATATGTGATGGCCAAAAACAGATACTTACTAAAGATATTGTTTCATTTGTAGTAAAATTAACATCTGGTTTATTTTTAAAAAGAATTTAATGTTTTCACATGTATCAAATCCTATATAGGCCACCTGTGCAAGTTTGTTTTTTTAAAATACAGTACCATCTTTAATATTTAATCACACAATGATAAACAACATACTGAACATAAAACTACTACTTATCATAAAACATCAAATCTGTGGTAATATGTATACATTAAAGTGGTTAAATTTTATGTTTTCTGATGTTACATTAGCATATATACTAATCTTATGTACATCCTACGTCTCAGCTAATGAAACAACAACTTCATCACTAGAGACAGTTGAAAGGTTACACGTTAGAAATTACGCTATCTACTGAGATACTTTTGTTGTTATGGAATCAACAATGTTTGCCATATTACTTATTACATAGTTTATAATGTTCAAACTGAAGTAATGTTAAAAAGAAATTATTAAGTCAAGCCACTGAGCCCTCGAGCAAACCAGATGATAAAAGCCTTAAGAGTTTAAGACTGAACCATAGATCAACAAGCATTAGTCACACCAAATGAGCTATGTGTCTGACTGGTATACCACTTGAAGCACAGGCCAAAATATTTGCTATAAGTGTGTCATTCCTGTTGGAGCTAATTCACTTGCATTAAAAATAGTTTTTGTATGCAACCCATGCCACACCACTTAACAATCAACCAATCTCTGCAGCTACCATGTGGAGACTACAATCTATCTTACTCAGTACATTATCTACTGGATACAGCCTTCAAACTACTTAACAATCAACCAATCCCTGCAGCTACCATGTGGAGACTACTATCTACCTTACTCAGTACATTATCTACTGAGTACAGCCTTCAAACTACTTAACAATCAACCAATCCCTGCAGCTACCATGTGGAGACTACTATCTATCTTACTCAGTACATTATCTACTGGGTACAGCCTTCCAACTACTTAACAATCCACCAATCCCTGCAGCTACCATGTGGAGACTACAATCTATC